TAATATTATTAGCAATATACCTGCTAAAGTACATTCCCTTTCTCTACAGGGCTCCAAATTCGAGTACCCCACAGACTCGCTGGCGTTCAGCGTGACACTGTTCACCGTGTTTGCTGTCCTAGTGCTGAGCTTACTCGTCTGTCGACGGACTCTGTCCATCTTCGGGAAAGGGGAACTTGGAGGGCCGACCAGTCCGAAAGCCGCTTCTGCCTTGATTACGTTCACGTTTTGGGTTCTGTATGTTGTTCTGTCGTCCCTGCAAGCTCAAGGTGTTATTGATGCTGGAATGTAAAGTTGACCTTCATTCCATCATGTTGGGGAAATTGAGAGGATACCATTTCTTCTTTTTCTGACCCATTTTTTGACAGCTTGCAATTCTAATTACTTTTAGTTATCGTGTGGTTGTTGTGGTTGTTGTATTTGTTGCTACCGTTGTGCTGCTGTTCTTGTTCTTGTTTTTCTTGTTGTTGTTGTTGCTGCTGTTTTGTATTGGTGGTGGCGGTGATGTTTGTGATGATGATGATGATGATGATGATGATGATGATGATGATGATGATGATGATGATGATGATGATGATGATGAGAAGGAGGAAGAGCATAAGAAAGAGGAGTGGGAAGAACGGAAAGAAGAAGATAAGAGAGAAAAAGGCGGAGGGTGACTATTTAACTTGAGTTTTGATGTGAGAATGGAGGCTTGTTTACTTTGTTGTTCAATAGCATTGTTTATTCTTGCAAAAATATGTCAAGATTATTCTGTATGCAAGACTGTTGATAAAATCCTTTCTTTTTTCCGAATCGGGACTGAAAAGAATTTTATACAGCATGTATTTCCCACATTTTTTGTTAATCATTACGGGCCTTTTGCTTCCTTGCTACTTTGTATTACTGTATACTTGATGTCATGCATAGTTAACTCCGTGAGGCTGGTAGTCTGCTCTTCGGCGCTTTTCAATGAAGGTCAGCACTCTGTAAGTCTTATAACATTTAATGATATAATCCTACAGGATTTTTTTCTTCGTACATGAGACACATCTACATTTTATCTGACAGGAATACTTTCTCTTAATCTCAGAAATCTTTTTACTTCGATTGTAAATCGAACCTTTTTCCAACACTTGGTTGGGTTAGTTCCCAAACAACATCTTAAAGATTTAACTTGGGGGCAAGTTGTGTACTTTAAACAATCGAATAAAAGGGGTTGGGGGAAGGGTGGACAAGTGGTCCAAAGTTAATA